TGGGCTGGGAGTACATCCCCGAGGCAGTGGAGGGGGACCTGGCGGGCACGCAGGAGCCCCGACCGACCACCGAACAGCCCCCCACGTCCCCCCATCCCACCGTGTGCTTGGGGTTACGGGATGGGAGGTGAGCCCACGTCTTCTGCATCCATCCTTTGGTGCAACCGCCAGCACCAAGCCTTGAGGAGCGGCACCATCTCCTGTATCTTCCCCCCGTTCCCTCCCCAGCATCGCCGTCTACGGCAGCGTGGACACGGGGACGCAGTGCTTGTTGACCTGCAAAAGCCCGGGGATGCAACCGGTCCTCTGCTTGAGGCACAGCCCTGAGTACCTCTTTGCGGGGCTGCAGGATGGGACCGTGGCCGCCTACCCCAGGAGCAATGGTGAGGGCACCCCGCGCGTGCTTTCGGACAGGCTTTTTGGTGGGACGCCCCAAAAAACCATGGAGCGGGACGTTCTTTGCGCCAGCGGGATGCGCTGGCTGCTAAAATGGTGATAAATCTCCGTTTTTCTTTTTCTTTCCCCCCACGATTTCATTCTTCCCCTTGCAGCCGGTGGCGAGGGGGAAGCTCTTTTGCATTGCCGGGATGAATGCCGGAGGGGCTTGGTTTGGGGGAAAACGGTGGGACGCCCCAAAAAACCATGGAGCGGGACGTTCTTTGCGCCAGCGGGATGCGCTGGCTGCTAAAATGGTGATAAATCTCCGTTTTTCTTTTTCTTTCCCCCCACGATTTCATTCTTCCCCTTGCAGCCGGTGGCGAGGGGGAAGCTCTTTTGCATTGCCGGGATGAATGCCGGAGGGGCTTGGTTTGGGGGAAAACGCGCGGGCAGCGAAGGGCGGGGGGGCTGCCCGAAGGGGCTGGTGCGGGGATGCGCAAGGACTCGGAGCTTTTGGCTTCAAAAAAAGTCACCTTTTTGGTGCTATAAACCAAGCTGACCCCCTCTGAACCTCATCCACGCAAAAGCCCTCTCCTTTCTTAGCTTGCTTTTGGGTTTATTTTCCCTGGTTCCAGCTCAGGCCAAGGCTGCAGCTTGCCGAGAGCCTTCCTCCCCGGGGGACTCCTCGCCTGGGCTCTTAAATAGCTTTGCTTCATCGCTAGAGGGAAGGAAAGAGCCTCAAACGATGCCTTCCCTTGGCCTGGTTTTGGACAAAACCCCTCATTTGCTCGGAGACAACCTCCAGCGAGCGGCACCCAAGTCAACCCCGCGCCAGTAAAGCCACTTAAATGGCGTTTTGGGTTGGGGGTGCTGCCCCCCCCTTCCCCTCCTTACAGCGCCCGTCCGAGCCAGTTAATGAAGCGGCTTTAATTTAACCGTGGTTGCGTAAGTGCACCTGGAAGGCAGCGAGGCACTGGCGGGGCTGCGGGGTGGGGGTTTTAATCTTATTCCCATCTTTTCGGAAGGACAAAGCTTTCCCCAAATAGCTCGTTTTTGATGTGGAAAATCAGGATTTGCTGAAAGGCGGCTCGG